GCTTATTATCCTGCATCTTTTCTTTTTTTTTTTTCCCCTCTAATTTCTTCATAGCCCTTATTACCCGAAATTATTTATTTTGTCTTTCCCATTAAAAAAGTAAGCTCTAGGGGCACCAGAGTGGCTCAGTCGGTTAAGTGTCTGACTTCAGCTCAAGTCGATCTCACGGTTCGTGGGTTCGAGCCCCACATCAAGCTCTGCACTGACAGCACAGAGCCCGCTTTAGATCCTCTGTCTTCCTCTCTGCACCTCCCTCACTCATGCGCACACATGCGCTCTCTCTCTCTCAAAAAAATAAAAATAAAAATAAAAATAAAAATAAAAATAAAAATAAAATAAAATAAAGGGTGCCTGGGTGGCTAAGTCGGTTAAGCTGTGGACTCTTGGTTTCAGCGGGGGTCGTGATCTTGCGGTTCCTGAGTTCAAGCCCCACGTTGGGCTCTGTGCACATAACACAGAGCTTGCTTCAGATCCTGTCTCCCTCTCTCTGCCCCTCCCCCACTTGTGTTCTCTCCCTCAAAAATAAAATGTTAAAAAAATTAAAAAAAAGAAAAAGTGAGCTCCAAGAAGATAGAGACCTTGCCAACCTGTTCACTGCTGTACCCCCATGGCCTGGTGCCTGGTAGATAACTAAAAAAAATACTTATCGGGGCGCCTGGGTGGCGCAGTCGGTTAAGCGTCCGACTTCAGCCAGGTCACGATCTCGCGGTCCGTGAGTTCGAGCCCCGCATCGGGCTCTGGGCTGATGGCTCAGAGCCTGGAGCCTGTTTCCGATTCTGTGTCTCCCTCTCTCTGCCCCTCCCCCGTTCATGCTCTGTCTCTCTCTGTCCCAAAAATAAATAAACGTTGAAAAAAAAAATTAAAAAATAAATAAATAAATAAATAAAAATAAAAAAAATATTTATTAATAAGCAAATCAGTGAATGCCGCCTTTATTTACTGTTTTCTTGTGGGCTGTCTGTCCCCCTCTTCCTTGGCTTCTGAAAAATCTAGAAAAGAACAAGAGAAAGCCTTTCTTATAGGGAGGACTTCCTCACTAATTTTTCCTGTTTTGTTTTTATTCTGTGTTCATGCCCATCTGTGTTTTATTCAGCCTTCAATCTAACTGCAACTGGGAGGTTTTTCTTGATGAATCCATTTGGAAGGATAAAAGGAGAAGTAAACGAGTGTGACACCCCATGGGAATATCCTACAATTCACGGGTCCAGATAGAACATGTGGACACAGGGCCGTACCTTCAAACCTAAATCAAGATTCGCTGTCGGCCGCTTTCCATTTCCAGGTGTAAGGAGTAGACTGGCAGATGAAATTAACATGTGGGAACAGAATTTCTTTATGGACAGAAACGGAAGAAAATATGGAAATGGAAATCTTCCCAGAAAATCCAGGACATAGAGTTACTACGGGGAAGTCTTCTTATATTATAAAACATGGACAGAGGTAGGAGATAAAGGTGATAAAGCAACTTTACCTGTTGAAATACACACCTGAAGTTGTAATTCAACTAAAATCAGAGGCTTTGAATAGTTTCTGACTTGCATTGCTTAGGAGTTTAGGAGGCCACGAGACGACCTGCTACTTCAGTTCTGAGCGGCAAGTGGAAGTGAGGGAACTCTTGGGCTAGACCAAAGTGCTCCCCAAATGTCTCCTTCCCTGGGCTTCGCAGTGTATTTCCTGACTTCAGGGCTGCCCTTCACCTGCTTCCCTTCCTACAGCACCCCCTGCTGCCCAACGGCACCTCCTAACTCCTCTCTCCGTGAGCAACTTGCTCACTGAGAGTCCTGTTCATTTCCTGACTCTCTGGGTCCTAAGTGTGTCTGATTTCCTCCCATCCATCTAGCAAATTCCCACAGGATGAAGGTGGAGGTTCTCTCCCCCTCCCCCTCCCCGAGGGGCAGGGCAGGACTTTCAATATAGGGATGCCCGGCTGGGGGCACAGTAGACCCATGGGCCTCGAGGGCCAGTTTCGAGAAGCTTGTAGAGCGTGCCAGACCGGGAGTGGACCTGGCAGCTGACCTGGCCATGCAGGAATGAAATATGTGCCTGGGCTTCAGACTCCAAAGTGGGAAAGAAAAAGTTCCCCAGCCTGGCACCAGGCCTCATCTCCCGCACCCTAGTATCAAATGCCTGTATAGTCATGGCCATAAATCTGCTGCCAGGTGCCTGGGTAGAAGGGCAGGAGAGCATGGACATTGTGTTTCAGCAGAGACACAGCCCTTGTTTGTGCGTGTGTAATGAGAACCAGTTAATCTGATCAAACGGTCAAACACGGGAAATTGTATCCCGCGGTGGACTGTGGAGATTTCTGACCACGGATCTGAGTTTCTTCCTTTTCCCTGCTGATCTGAACGTTGAAAGTATGTCTAAGAGTCCGAAAGCCCTCAGGGTGGGGTTGTTTATCGTAGGGTCCACAAATTCCCTGGAATCCCCTGCAAAAATGTGGGTGTGTGCACACTGATGTAGCAATTGTACACTATTCTAGGGAGGGGGCATAGTTCTAACAGATTCTCAAAGAGGCCAGGACGTAGAAAAATAAGAATGACTGCCTTAGTTTTTCAGGCAGGTGATTCTGAGATACTGGACCAGGCTCTGAGACAACCAGAGAGAATGGGAGCATGCATCTGGTGGCCGGCGAGGGGCAGGCCCTTTGGAGGAGCCACGGGGGTTACTGCAAAGTCCATCCTACCAGGCATAGGCTGCTGTGCCATTCATTCATTCATTCATTCATTCATTCATTCATTCATTCTTCATCAGAGAGAGCACAGGCAGTAGAGGGACAGAGAATCTTAAGCAGGCTCCGAGCTCCACACCCAGTGCAGAGCCTGGCAAAGGGCTCAATCTCACAACCAGGAGATCATGACCTGAGCCGAAATCAACGGTCAGATGCTCAACCGACTGAGCCACCCGGGCACCCCTGCTGTGCCCTTTAGACACCACCGATGCCAGGCTGGCCTGATGTTACTTGTCTTGCCTGGTCGGAAGGGTTGTCCTTTACGGACGCCCAACATTCTGGGTGGCAAGGTGAAACAGTTTGGAACTGCCACCGCATGTGAGTCAAGCTCAGCAGCTTCTGCGGGATGGGCAGCACAGGGTTGGGGGGGAGAAGGGTTTCCTGTTCGAGAGGAAGGGCAGCTGGTCCACCTGCTCTCGCTCCAACCATTCCATTGCTACCGAGTTTCCCTGCAGGAATCTATCGAGATGCCCCTTCCATCTCTGCTAAACTCTTTGTTCCTCCCTTCTGGAAGACCGATCTCTAGCTCCTTGTCCACTAGACCCTCCCGCTGCATTCCTGAAACGGGCTCGGTCCTTGCTTTGTTAAGTGCTGCTGCCAGGTGTCTGTTCTCCCCGGGGAAATGCGAACACCCTGACTCAGCGGGGCTCACACTCAGTTCCTTCTGCTGCCTTCCCTGGCCCTATTCCATTTTTTTGGCATCAGTCCTACTCGAAGGCAGGAAGGAGACTGGGGAAGGTAAGGGGACAGCGGCTCTACTGGAACGGCCCCCGGGCACACACCGGGAAGTGTGGAATCAGTTCCTGCCCTTGAGAAGGGAGTGCGGGCCCTGGAGGCCAAGCTGGGAGAGCCACAGATGGCTGTGTGCCGCAGAAGGAGGAGGAGAAGATGCCCAGTGCCACAGTCCCTGTCCTCTTCTGGCCCATCATCCCACTCTCGGGTGACTCTAAGAACTTCCTCCCCGGAGTTGGGGTCCTCTGCCTCCCTTCCTGACACTTTCCCTCCCCCCAGAACGGCCACCCTTCTAAGACAAGGTCATTCTCCAGCTTAAACACCTTTATTGAGTCCTCTTTTTATCCTAAATACTTTTAGCATGGCACCAATTTCAATGCAGCATCTTTTATAGTGTCATTTCCTACAACGAACCTAAGCTTCGGCCATGGCAGACCTCTCAATTTTTCACAAACACACCTGCCACACACCTATGTCTCTAGAACATTCTGCTACGCCAGTCTCTCTTCTAGAAATACCCTTCAGTGCCTCTTCTCTCCCTAGACACTCCTGCCTAAGGGCCCAGCTTCAATCTGGTCTCCGCTGTGGACGGTCCTCGGCATGCCATGCAGAGATACCATCTGGCTAGGTGCTCCCACAGCGCAGCGTTCCCATACAAAGGGTGAACCAAAACTAATGCTTACGGAGCCCTTCCTCGACACTAAGCACTCTTTGGCACACGGATGGTCTCATTTCTTCCCTATCTCTGATTCCTCGCCCAACACGTGAGGGAGTCAACGATCTTCATTTTCAGAAGAGGAAACGGAGGTTCAGAGAGGGTAAGTATCTTGCCCAAGGTCACAGAGCTAGGAAGAGTCAGGGCTAGGATCTGATTTCCTGGGTGTCAGACCCTCAGGTCCATGCTCTTTCATGCGTGTTAAGGCCGTGATATGGGCTGTATGCGGCCGTGACTGGTGTTATAAGAGGCCATCTGACCTGTGGGGGTCGTTGGCCTTCTCACGGCAAGATCTGTCCCATGTCATTCGCCACTGCAGCCCCTCTGCCTAGGTCAGTGCCGGGCAGCGTATTCAGTGGATGTCTGCGGAACTGCTTTGAAGGGTGCAAGTTTGGAGAGCAACCTCACCTACCTCTTACCAACTACCGCAAAGAGAGCTTCCGAGGTAGATTCTCCCAAGAGTAGAAGAGGACTTTAGCAGGTAGGAGACAGCGGGGAAGGCCCATCCCCACCGTCTGCCCTGACTTCTCCCCGCATTTCTGACAGGGGGTTGGGCCTGGCAGCTCCAAGGGAGTCAAAGCTCTTGGAGCTCTTTGGCTGAAGTGGGAATAAAGTCCAGGCTCTAGGAATGTGGTCTACCTGCCCCCTGTCCCCTACCTTCCTGTCCCTCACCTGCCTTCTCCCTGCTCCTGGACTTCATGGTGAGCAGTGACGCCAGGCAACAGGTGGTGAGGGTGCCTGCTCCCTGGAGAGAACCTGCCCTCCTTCCCCGAGGACCAGGGGAGGCACTGGCCCCCTCCCCGGGGCCCCCTCCGGCCTTACCGTCGGTGCTGGCATCATCCACCAGTATGATCTCCTTCAGCAGGATGGCGGGGCTGGTGTGCAGGACGCTGTACACGGTTCGCAGCAGCGTGGACCAGGCCTCGTTGTGGAACACAATGATGACGCTGGTGGTGGGCAGTGGAGGGCAGCGGCGGAATTTCTGGTCGACACACCTGGACAGACGGAAGCATACAGATAGAGCTCTCCAGGTCCCCGGGAGTTCCAGGGGCGGGAGGGCTCTGTCCGTAGGTTTTCGTAACCATCCTCTGCCCTCTGCTGTGCTTGGGCATGGCTGTTCCCTGTTCCTGGCTTACTCTGGTTTTCTACCTGCTGTGAGCCTCTGCACAGGTCCTAGCCGACCCACTCCAAAACCTGTCCGCCCCACAGCTGGCTCCGTGCACCAGCCGCCATGCAGAGGGGCTCCCCTGCCCGCCCCCCCCCACCACCCCCACCCGGCTTCTCTCATCTGCTCTAGGACGTTCCAGGGCTGACTCTCTGTTCCTCAGTAATGTGCGTACTGCATAGAGTGTAATCCAATCCAGAGGTCCCAGAGGGGAAGTAATAGAGCGCGAGTTTGACATCCGAGAAAAGCGACTACAATTTCCACACTCAAGGAGAGAATAAGGCTCTTCTCTTTGCAATGTACGGTTCTTCTCTAACCCATTTCCTCGTTAATTACCTGTCATCTGATGCTACTATCACACATGATTTCCTGTGGCCTCTTCTCCGCCTTCATCTACTCTAGCTATGCTGGGCACGTGGCCACACCGCTGCCCTCCTGACATTCCGCCTTGGGTGGGAGTGGGAATGGGTGAATCCTGGATTATCAAGGAATCACGTGGCCTGACAGCCTCTCTTATCCCCCTCTGCGGGTCACAGAGATTTCTCATGGACCCTCCAGAAGAGCCTCCCCAACTTCCTCCACTGGCTGCCCTCATGCCCGACGCCCCTCCCTGCTGAGGAGCTCCCGATAACTCCGAGTGGCTCCACCTTCTAGGACTAGACTAGCTGGTCCAAGTCCGAGGAAACCTAGGTTCACAGCCCGGAGGAACCCTGAACCACACGAGAAAAGCCCAAAAGGGTGTATAACTCTTGCGTTGGGAAAAAAACAACATCTTTGACTTAAGGGCGGTGTGAACACAGCCACGGCAGCCTCAGTGTGAGGTGGCCGAGCAGGGATCCAAGTGCTGGTCCACTGCCCAGGACTGGAAGTACAAATGGCTTCCTAGAAAGGTTGGAATGAATTCATGGCCCCGTGGGCCTTCATGGCAGGAAACCAGGAGGTGCTAGGACAGTCCTGACCATCTGGGCTGCCGTCAGGAAATGTCCCTTTCTCAGCAGCTCGGTGGCAGAGTGCTCCAGGCTCAGGTAGGCCTCAGCAGAGGGCAAGGCCACCGACATCGCAACCTGGAACCAGCCCTCCCAGATACCCTTGTGTCAGGCCCTGGCCCCAGGCCCTGAGTCCCTCCTTCAGTAACCTGTCACTTTCATAACTGTAACTTCATAAGTCAACATTTCACTCGCACAGTATCCCTGGGCCTCCGGCCTGACCACAATACCACCAGCATAAGGGCACTGGCCAGGAAAAGAAGGGAGGGCTTAGAGGAAATCCTTGCCCACATCATAAGATCACCATCAGCTCTTTAACCTGGCATTTGGCCCGTGGCCATGACCATACCAGCCACGCTTTTGGCGGAGCCCTGGCCTCACCCCAGGACTTTGGGTGCTACTTACTCAGGGGGTCGGGTGTCCGGCCCCAGGGCCCTCTGCAGGGAGATCCGGTCACTGGCAAACGCATTGAAACAGTGTTTCTTATAGCCTTCTTCCTTCTCCTGGGTCTCCAGACTGGTCCACTTGTCCTTCTGAAATGCTTTTCCATCTGCCCCAGGGCTATTGGGATCCTGTGGTGGCCGTTCCCAGAAGGGCCTCAGCTCTGCTGGGGTATAGAGCCCAGGTAGGCAGGACCGGTTTATGGAGACTGGTGTCTCCTGGGGCTCTGGGGCCCGGATCTGGAGCTTAGGCATCGAATCTCGAAGGTTGTTCACAGCCCCCAGCATGAGGTCCAGAACATGGTCCTTCTGGCTCACCAAAGACTTCAGCCACGGTTTCTCTGTGGCCTGTTCCGTGCTGCTGACATCCCTGTGCATGACGAAGAGAAAGAGCACGAAGGCACTGCCCACCATGGCCAGGCGCATGGGCATGTGGCGTCTACGGAGGAGACGCATCCTCGGGGACCGATGGGGACCCCGGCTGGGTCAGCTCTGAGTGCCGGGCCCGACCCTGGAAACAGCTTGATCTGTTGCGATGGCCACACCCTGGGGCCTCAGCCTGAGAAGGGAAGGGATGAGAGAGAGAAATGAGCCAAGGCACAGGTGTGGAAGGGGCTCGAGGTTTGAGGCCAGGCTCTGTTGCTCAATGCTGACAACACCCTGGCCCAGTCACTTCACTTTTCTGTGCCTGACTTTGCTCTCTCCGTAGAATGAGGAGGCCAGACTCAGTGTCTCCTTCCTGCTCTAAGACTGTGCCACTCATGGGTCTAGGACACCGAGACTCTGCAGGAAGAGGTTTGATCGACGTAATCACCTTGGGAAACAATGTGACATTATCAAGCAAAATCGGAAATGTACACATCTATGACCCAGCAATTCTACTCCTGGTTTTACATCCCCGATAACCTCCTGCACACGAGCCAGGAGGCACGTGCAGGAAAGCGTCTAGCAGCGTTGACTCAGATGGCAAAAATGAGAAACAATCCAAGTGTCCATCCACAGAACGAATAAGTGTGAAATACCCACAGAACAGAGGATTCTACGGCAGTGACACAGGACGAGCTGCTTCCACAAGCAGCTACATGGTGTAATTGGTGAGTCTAGACAGCAGGCTGCAGAAAGATACATACGGTATGAATCCACTTACAAAAAATTCAAACACCTAAAGCTAAACAATATATTGTTTATGAATACAAAAATGAACATGTAGCGGGGCGCCTGGGTGGCTCAGTCGGTTAAGCGGCCGACTTCGGCTCAGGTCATGATCTCGTAGTTTGTGAGTTTGAGCCCCGCGTCGGGCTCTGTGCTGACAGCTCGGAGCCTGGAACCTACTTCCAATTCTGTCTTCCTCTCTTTCACCTTGCCTACTCACACTGTCTCTCTCTCTCTCTCTCTCGAAAATAAATAAACATTAAAAAAAATTTTTTTTTAAATGAACCTGTGGTAAAGCTATAAAGAAAAATGAGGGGGAAAAAAAACCCTGAAGGAATAACAAAACCAAAATTTCTGGAGACGGAGGAAAATGTATGGGAACAGAGGCGCACATGGACTTCAAAGTATTTTTTTTTTTAATTTAAAAAAAAGTCTTTATTTATTTTTGAGAGAGAGAGACAGAGTGTGAGCAGGGGAGGAGCAGAAAGGGAGACACAGAATCCGAAACAAGCTCCAGGCTCTGAGCTGTCAGCACAGAGCCAGATGCGGGGCTCAAACTCACCAACCGTGAGATCATGACCTGAGCCAAAGTCGGACGCTCAACCGACTGAGCCACCCAGGCGCCCCACAAAGCATTTTTTTTTTAAGTGGATGGTGGCTGCTGGTAGAACTGTTATTCTTTATACCCTTACATATGTTTTATAAATATTCTTTTCTATCTACTCATTTAATTTTTTAATGTTAAGTTTTGAGAGAGAGAGAGAGAGAAAGTGGGTAGGAGGGTAGGGGAGTAGGGGAGGAGCAGAGAGAGGGGGACAAAGGATCTGAAGAGGGCTCCACGCTGACAGCAGAGAGCCTGATGTGGGACTTGAACTCACGAACCACGAGATCAAGTCCTGAGCCGAAGTAGGATGCATAACCGACTGAGCCACCCAGGCACACCTATCTACTTATATTTAGTTAAAAACAAACAAACCAACCAACCCAGGGGCGCCTGGGTGGCTCAGTTGGCTAAGCGTCTGACTTTGGCTCAGATCATGATCTCACGGTTCATGGGTTCGAGCCCCGCATTGGGCTCTGTGCTGACAGCTCAGAGCCTGGAGCCTGCTTCGGATTCTGGGTCTCCCCCTCTCTGCCCCTCCCCTGCTCATGCTCTGTCTCTCTGTCTCTCTGAAAAATAAACATTAAAAAAAAACAAACCACAAAAAAAAACCCCGAAGGTTCTATAACATCTTCCAGACAGAGATGGGCTTATAGGTTTACCAGCTTCTGTCCTCAGGCACGTGGTCCCATGGCTCAGAGGATGAACGTTTGCCAAACTTTCTGTGGAGAACTCTAGATATTGGTGACAGTAGACCTGGGTACAAATTCTGTTCTGCCTCTTCTAGCAATAATAACACCTACCTTCTACGGTCGTTGTAAGGATTAAAGTACCATGTAATAATTCATGGAAAAAGTTTAGCAGTCTCTGCACATAGCAAGTTCTCAAAAAGTGTTAGTTTCTGTTATTAGCATCTTGTGTGACCCTTGGACAAATTCATCTCTCGAAGGCTCAATTTCCTCATCTGTAAAGTGGGAGGTAACTAATACCTAACGCACAGGGTCACCATGAAGATTAAATCAGCGATAACGTAGGTACAGTGCTCGGCAGAGTGCCTGGCACGTACTAAGCCCTCAATAAATGCTATCAATTATTTCTATTATTACAATTAATAAATCCCTGCTCAGCTTCCCAGCAATTATCCTTGAGTACCTGGTCCTTGGCCAAAGCCACACTCATTACCCGTAGCATGTCTTGTTAAAAAGTAATTCCGGTTGAGCTACTTAACGCTGTTATTTAAACACACAAGCTCCTTCCTGCCTGTGGAGAAAAGCCTCGTGTCTGGAGTCACTGGGATCTGTGGAATACGCATCCATCATGATCTCCAGAGGGAGCGGGGCTACACAGGTGGTTTTCTTTTACAACGTCAGATTCGACAGCATCAGCAAAAGTCACATAAAACGAAACCTCTTTGAGCAACTGTTTTGTATCAGGAGTTGTCTAGGAGACAGGAGAGGAAATGTGTTAATTCCGCCAGCAGTGATTGAATAGGGCAGGTACTCAGCCAGCCAGATTGGGGATGGCGAGAAGTGGGAGCTGGTGCACTGAAAGAAGAATATGCGGATTATGACCTGCGGAATGAGGTGGCCCAGACCACCCACATGGCGTCTGTAGGTAGCTCCCTCAGCATCTGAGGTCCCACTTGGCGGAAGTGAAACCCGTGGAGTTATTCTGATTGAAGGCCGAGTTTCAACACACCCACACAAAGGAAGCAGAGGCACAAGATTCGTTATTACTTACAGGTCCCAGAAGCGAGGGGGCGCAATGAGCCAGGGGGAAGGGCTGTCCTCTGTCTGGGGTCACCAGGAAGCAGGAGACAGACATAGCTAGCTAGCACCTATACTTAAAGGCGACCGGAGCAGAGGTCACTATCTTCTCCCAGGCTTAACTCTAAGTAGTTATTATTTTTTTTAATGTTTATTTTTGGAAGAGAGTAGGAGCAGGGGAGAGGCAGAGAGAAAGGGGGACAGAGGATCCCAACTGGGCTCCACACTGACAGCAGAGAGCCCGAGGTGGGGCTCGAACCCAGGAACCGTGAGATCATAACCTGAGCTGAAGTCGGATGCTCAATGGACTGAGCCACCCAGGCGCCGCCTAAGTGGTCATTTTAAAAGGTGCTCTGCTAAAAGCAAAGTGGGAACTTTTGGCAGGCATCCTAAACTCGAGTCCTTATCTAAATGTCCAGGCTGTGGATGTGAGAAGGGTTATCATGCTGTAAAATGCCGAGGCAGCAACTCAGAAAAACAAAGCCTTCTTTCTCGAAAGTTGTTTTTCGCATCACACTGGGGGAGGCAGTGATGGGCAAGTCCAACCTTCGAGGAGCATACAGTCAATTGGGGAAGTCAGATTTTTTTTTTAATTGAAGTATAGTTGACCTGGGAAGTCAGATTTTCAATGGAGATCAGCCAATGAGACAGGCATCCTTGGTGCCCAGGGAGAGTGGATGCAGGAAACTCAGCAAGTGGGGGAAGGTGACGTCTGTGAAGAGGTCTCATGGGGGGAGGAGCTTGGGCTGAGCACTGACTCACAAGTAGGAGCTGGCCAGGCCAGGTGAGTATCCTTCAGGCAGAGGGAACAGCACCAACTACGGCCTGGAGGTGGGAGAGAGCATGGCCAAGCAGAAAACTGCCAGTAGTTCGGTATGGTGGGAGCATGAAAATAGCCGAGGATGGGCCTGGAGAGGTGGCTGCAGGTAGGTCCCCATGCCAAGGAGTTTGCCCTTGACCTGAGGTATGGGAGCAACAAAAGATTAGCCAGGGCCCAGCATTACAGGAAAACAGTATGACAGCTGGTGGAGGGTGTCCAGGAGATAGATCTGATTGGCAGGTGGATGGCCAACCGAGAGGCGTGTCGGTGGCGGTGAGGGTCTGACCCAAGAAAGCAGGTGTGTGGATGAGGAGGCAGGACCCAGTGCTAGGAAAACTCCCTTGGGTGATGGGACAGGACAATTTGCCCCAGTTGGGACACAGAGGGGTACAGAGCGGTATGAGAGAATTCCTCTCTCCAAGAGATCTTAAAATCTAGTTGGAGAATAAGAATTGCCAGCACTGGGTCCAGGTAGCACCTGTCCAGGGAAGACACGGGAACAGGAAAAAAAAAAAAAAAAAAAAAAGGTCTTTCACTGAACACCCTTCTGAACTTTGAACCCTGACTACATTATCTATTCAAAAATTAATAAAATTAAAACTTCATAATAACAGCACAGGCAGTAAGGGCTGAGCTGGGAGACGGATCTCTCTGTGGGCTTGAAGGAGGCTTCAAGGAGGGAATGGGGATTCAGCGCAGACGCAGGTTTCTGCCCTAGAGGTTGAGCCGTGCTGGGCCAGCACAAGGGGTTGAGCTAGACATCTCCTCAATTCTGGAACTGCCCCAGCTAAACACAAACAACAGGGCCCGTAAGTGGGGAAGTGTTTGCCATGACAGTGTTGCCCCATCCTGCAGGCTGCATCTTCCCTGATATTTTCTGTGTACCTTCCGACTCCAGCAAGAAAGAGGGCGCACAGTTAGGAACAAAGGCTTGGTAACAGCTTAGTTACCAGCTGCTGCCAAGTGCTCAAGACTCACCTCCTCCAGGAAGGCCTCCCTGACTGATTCACTCAGAATCACCCAGGTCACTCCAACTCCCTCGTCCTGGCATTGCCTCGTGGTCCTTTGCAGTGGGGTTCACCTTTGCTCCTTTTATTTCCCCTGGAGAAAGAGACCTAGGGTTAAATTGAGTCCTTTCCCAGGCATCTGCTCGCTCTCAATCCAGTCTGCCTGTCTAAGCCTTGCTCTCCGAAGTTTGCAGTTCCTCAAGGTACTAACCACATCCTGAAATGAAACGAGACACCTGTGATTAGCCGTGGCAGGAAGGGACTAGGTCTCTAGTTCGTTTGCTCAGCATGTGGGCAATAGGAAAGCGTCCCTTAGAAGAGACACACAATCGGATGGAAACCAGAAGACTTTGGGATGAAGGATTCCTGGCCTCTGCGTAGGAGATTCCCAGAAGTGTGGTTAGCAGGACTGGGGAGTCAGCCCTCCACTAGCCTGGTGAAGGAGTCGTCCCTATTGTATGTAGTCCTTGGTGAAGTCCAGGGCTTCCCAGGATCCTCACCCCAGTGTCTTCTTCTATTGCCCCTCACCTTGAGGCTCCCACGCCTGACTTTGAGGCTCCCACGCCTGACCTACAGGACCACTGGGCAAGGGTGCCTGCCCATAGCCCTCATCCACTCATTCCCCTCCTGCTACTGCTGCACATTCATTCCCAACTCTTTTCCCTCCAGCCACCCTTGGTATTGCCACACATAGAACCATCTTGGTTTCAGTACTGAGATGACGCCAGAAATCCTCTTCTTCCAGGAAGCTTTCCTAGATCGAACAAATGCAACCTGCTTCTCTGGCCCCACCAGCCAGAACACGAGCTCACCTTCTGTCACTGGTATAAGGGAATTGAGGTTTTACCCACCCGAGTGCCTGTCTAAGCACTGATTACAACCCATCATAGGATTGTGGAATAAATTTCAGGTGTTGCAAATCGGCATGAAAAACATTCTTTAAAAGATCAGAATGAAATAGAACAAAAAAGAAAGTCTCAAAGTGCCTCATATGCAATAGGGGTGAGTACTGTTTTGTTAAAATTTCATGTCAGTTATTACATATACATACAGTACAGCGAGTGTCTTAGTAGTCTGAAGCTTTAACAACTTCAGAAGGGTAAATACTATATACTTAACATCATTTGAAAATTTTTTACCTGATTTTTATGAATTTTGAATAACAAATTTTTATTTTCTTTTAAAAAAAAATTTTTTTTTTCAACGTTTATTTATTTATTTGGGACAGAGAGAGACAGAGCACGACGGGGAAGGGGCAGAGAGAGAGGGAGACACAGAATCGGAAGCAGGCTCCAGGCTCTGAGCCATCAGCCCAGAGCCCGACGCGGGGCTCGAACTCACGGCCGCGAGATCGTGACCTGGCTGAAGTCGGACGCTTAACCGACTGCGCCACCCAGGCGCCCCAACAAATTTTTATTTTCATGCTGTTCTCCACCCATTGGAGACGATAAACATATCCCGACACAAAGTTACAATGAAAAATGTGTTATTTAAAATTCATAAAACTTTGGGGTGCGTGGTGGATGGCTCAGTCAGTTAAGTGTCTGACTTCAGCTCAGGTCATGATCTTGCGGTCTGTGAGTTTGGGCCCCACATCGGGCTCTGTGCTGACAGCTCAGAGCCTGGAGCCTGCCTCGGATTCTGTGTCTCCCTCTCTCTCTGCCCCTCCCCCACTCACTGTCTCTCTCCCTCTCTCAAAAATAAAAAAACATTAAAAAAATTTTTTTAGGGGCGCCTGGGTGGCGCAGTCGGTTAAGCGTCCGACTTCAGCCAGGTCACGATCTCGCGGTCCGTGAGTTCGAGCCCCGCGTCGGGCTCTGGGCTGATGGCTCAGAGCCTGGAGCCCGTTTCCGATTCTGTGTCTCCCTCTCTCTCTGCCCCTTCCCTGTTCATGCTCTGTGTCTCTCTGTCCCAAAAATAAATAAACGTTGAAAAAAAAAATTTTTTTTTAAATAAAAAAAAATTTTTTTTAATTCATAAAACTTAAAGGTTAAGGAGATTTAAATTATTACCTTTCTAAAAAAAATTTTTTTTTAACGTTTATTTATTTTTGAGACAGAGAGAGACGGAGCATGAACAGGGGAGGGGCAGAGAGAGAGGGAGACACAGAATCCGAAACGGGCTCCAGGCTCTGGGCTGTCAGTACAGAGCTGGACGCGGGGCTCGAACTCACGGACTGTGAGATCATGACCTGAGCCGAAGTCGGACGCTCAACCGACTGAGCCACCCAGGCGCCCCTAAATTATTACATTTTAAATGAGGCTTTTTCTAGGGGTGCCTGGGTGGCTCAGTCGCTTAAGCGTCTGACTTTGGCTCAAGTCATGATCTCGCAGTTTGTGAATTCGAGTTCTGCATCGGGCTCTGTGCTGACAGCTCAGAGCCTAGAGCCTGCTTTGGATTCTGTGTCTGCCTTGTTCTCCGCCCCTCCCCCGCTCAAGCTCTGTCTCTCTCTCTCTCTCTCTCTCTCAAAAATAAATAAACATTAAAAAAATGTTTAAATGATGCTTTCCTGTTAGTTTGTAGAATTCATACCTCTGACGTGATTACAGTGTAAAGGTGAGACTTTGGGGATACGCTGTCACATGGAAGCGGGCACTAGGTCTTGTAAAATGTCTTTCTTAGGGGTGCCTGGGTGGCTCAGTTGGTTAAGCGTTGGACCCTTGATTTGGGCTCAGGTCGTGATCTCATGGTTTGTGAGTTCGAGCCCCATGACTAACAGTGTGGGGCCTGCTTGGGATTCTCTGTCTCCCTCTCTCTCTGCCCCTTCCCACTTGTGTGTGCGTGCTCTCTCTCTCTCTCTCTCTCTCTCAAAATAAATAAATAAACTTAGGGGCACCTGGGTGGCTCAGTCGGTTAAGTGCCCGACTTTGGCTCAGGTCATGATCTCATGGTTCATGGGTTGGAGCCCCGCATCCGGCTCTGTGCTGACAGCTCAGAGCCTGGAGCCTGCTTTGGATTCTGTGTCCTCTCTCTCCCTGCCCCTCCCCCACTTGTGCTCTGTCTCTCTCTCTCTCTCTCAAAAATAAATAAACATTAAAAAAAAATTTTTTTTAAATAAACTTAAAAAAAATGTCTTTCTTATTTTGGCCCAGTCATAGAAGTTTGAAAGCAGGGCTGCAAGATCTGTTCTGTCACACCTTTGTGAACTCCTGGGCCAGACAGGCAGGTTGTTTTCACCTTTGTTCTCACTTGCAAAGCCTAGCACAGGGTTTTTTTCTGGAGTAGATGTTCCATAAACTCTTGTTACACGAGATGATGCCTGAGGGGTTAAAGTGAGCTGTTCAAAGCTCCGAGGGAACGCACTGCACTGGCTTCACGGAAAGATATTTTGGATGCGTTTACCACAGCAGGCATGTGAGTTACAGGATATTCTTTGGTCACACATCAGCGTGCCGCTTTGGCTAGGTCTGTCCGCGAGCCCAGCACCCTCATTTTACAGGAGAGGCCAGAGTGGCCGGGTGACTTCACACAGTATCACACAGCCTGTGGCTCCCGGGGGCCAATGCCAGTCTCCCAGCTCCCAGGCCACTGCTCCGTTCCCACACTCTGACCTCCCGGTTGCAGGTCGCCTGGGGGAACTGGAGACCGGTTTAGGCTCTTCCGCCCCAGGGGCCAGGCTGTTCCCGCCCCCCCCCCCCCCAGCCTCCCCACCACCCACTGCTCCGCTCTAACACCGCCCCTCCCCTCCCTGGCACCTGCCCTCCCCCAGATCCTACCTAGGACTACAGACAGATGCTTTAAAGATGCCAAAATTCTAAGTCCCAGGCAAAGGCTCAGCTTTTGTGAAAACCAGCGGCAGCCAACCAGAACACGCCCTGGCCGGCCAGGTGGCCTTTTTGTAACAAAGTTTCTTTCTGTTTATCAGCAAAGCTGCTCACCTCCGGGAGACGTGGCAGCCAGGAAGTAGGCAGTCGACACCACCAAGGGGATGTTTGCTCAGGTTACTCACCCTACAGCTCAATTACAGGTTCTTCGACAAGTGCCGACTGTTGCCATTCTCTCACCGAGGGCACAGGTGTGTGGAGCTAGACATCCCGCTGGGGAGGGGACAGGTCAGGCTACTGGCGAGGGAGAGGGGGACCCGAGAGGCCGTTTGGGGCCAGAGGATTCTTTCTTCGCCACCAGCACTTCTTGCCATCAAACACAGCATGCATTTCACTTCCTCTGTTCTCATGAGTAGCAAATTCTCTCCTCCAACCCGCCCCCCTGACCCTTCAGATTACAGAAGGCTGGGAGGTTTTCACTTTCCCCATAATTACACCTTCAGGACACTTCAGTTGTTCCTTAAGACTCAGGCGGCAGTCCTGTGGCTTATTTTCCCAGAAAGATGCCCCGAAAGTTATTTCTGTAGCTAGTCTATCAAGTTGTTTTCCCCATGGTGTCTAGGTTCGTTTTATGTTTGCATAAAATGTTAAGCCTAAATTACCCAAACACGGATATTCCATTGAAAAACCCACCCCAAACTGGCTCACAGGGTATACCTCGAACGGTGCTCGGCGAATGTTCGCTAATTTACTCCGAGGCTGTAAAAGCCACTGCAGATCAAAATAATACGTGACCGTAGTTGAGCAGCTCACAGGTTTTTCACCGGAGGACCTCCAGGCCTGTCGGGTGGGGGCAGGGACTGAGCCTGGAGACTGCTGGCTCCTTCGGGGGTGGGGGGGAGGGAGGATGGAAGGGGGGGGGGGGGGGGGGGAGGGGTTAACCGGAAGGGTACTCCCGAGGGCTTGGGCTGGTCCCCAGATTTGAAGAGGGGGTGGTGAGGGGAGAGGGCAGAACGGAGGTTTTTCCCTCCCTCCTCACCGCACGCTTTGCTCCAGGCTGTAGGACTGCGGTCCAGGACCATCTATCCTCACACACACCACACCCTGAACTCAGGGTCTATACCCTGCCCCCTCGGTGGGCCGGCCTTCCCAATTTCCCCTAGGCTGCCAGAAGCATCGAAATCTTTGAAACAGCCCCTGCCCCTGCCCTTGCCCCGCTCCCAGGCAGGTACAAGGGCTTTCAGTGCCTTCTCAACGTCAGGTTCACTCCACGCCCACTCCCGGGCCCTGCTGATTCATTCCCTGCCTCCTGGATCCTCCTCTTCCTCTC